TCTAGCCCCAGGCTCCTCTTGGTGCAATACCTTGAGGACAGGCTAACTGATAACAGTAAGAAACTACCGCTGCGCTACCACTGCCACTGCAACTATTCACGGCGAATGTGAATCTTTAATTTAATTATCCAAGTCCGAAGCGAAGAGCCCCTAAGCTCTTCTTAGGGTCGCAAAGCCGTAAATGGATAACCGTTAAACCGCATGGCAAACATTTACAAGAGGTGTCTGTGTGACGAAAGCTTGAAAACCCCCTCCTCGCGACCCATTTTAATATATTTTGAATGTAGAAGCACCCTCAACTCGCCCAAAAAATTCATTGCAACAAAATATTGTTTTCTCATACGCGGAGATGATACCAGTTTCTTTTTCTTTCTTTGTTTGTTTGTTTCTATATTTTTCGTTTTTATGTTATGTTATGTTATTTTTTTTTATTATAAATTTTTGCAATGAATTGTTTTCTATCTATTGTTCTTTTTATTGTTATTTATTATTATTAATATTATTATTTAATTAATCAATTATTTTTTCCAAAAAAAAATATTTTAATTTTTTCATGTTCAGGGATGTTCCGGGATGTTCCGGAATGTTCCGGAATGTTCCGGGATGTTCCATGTTCCTGGTTTTATCGACGCCCCAAAATACTACAGTGTTGTGCATTGTGTATGTAGTTGTCCAACCAAACCTCGACCTTGATCGTTTCATAGTGTTCACTCACTGGAGCGAAATGTGAGGAAAGGCTGTTCATAATATATAGTGGTGAACTTGAGTAAGGAGACATCTTCGGCAAAACTTGTTAACCAGCCTTGCCACGTATAGTTTCCTGAAAAACACTTCTCGTAACTAGAAATAAAAATTTATTCTAGGAAGTGCGTTTAATTTCCCGGAAGTGTATTCAATTCTCGGAAGTGTACGTAGTTCTGGGAATTGTCTTCTAATTCCGAGAAGTGTTTTCAACCACTATGATGTACTCAATTCCTGCGAAGCGTTCAGTATTTTGTCCTTTGATACGGTAGGTAACACATTGCTGCAGATACAGTCAATTGGCAAGGACTTTGTGGGAACTGGACCTAAGCTAATCGTATCTTACTCTCTTTTGTTTATTGTCTTGTTTCAGCATTATTAACTTGGAGAGAGATCAGAACTTACAATGGATAGTTTATCCAGGTCAGCGTCACCTAAAGCCTCATCAGCACCAAGTGAAAGCGGAAGCGATGGAGAAACAGGTATGTTTTGATTTGCGTGCCAAGGTAACTGGTAGCAATGTTTTATACTTTGTTGGGAGGGCACTAAAGTTCGAATGAGAAAAAAAATCTTTGTCCAAGTCGGTCCTAAGTCGTTTCTGTCTCAGTATCGCATAGTCTAAGAAAAGAAACACCTGCTCAAAACAAATATCTAACAAAATTTATGGTCAATGGCTCAGCGTGTACTATTGAGTTATAACTGCACGCAGGAGGTTGCTAAGCACGAAAGAAGCGTAAGAGTCCGGCCAACTGCTACTCTAGATTCTTAAATGCTTAGCAATCTTCCCAAGTCTGGGGCACCCAACGACTGTTTTCTATTCAGAGAAGCAAATATCGCATAGAATTTTCTATTACTTGAGGACGGCTAAAAATTTCTAGATGACTCATTCATGTACAATTTTTGACGCTTATCTAATATATTCCCTACGATTTTCTAAAGCTTAATTTTTCACATTTCACTCCTCAGGTTAGGCCATTTTCCGTAGAAAAACAGGAAACCTAAAATTTAGGATTCAAAACTGTGATGAAGAGAGGGATTAGTAAAATTCTCACTTTCGTTATTCGTTAAATTACATCTAAAATTTTCGGTAAGACAAAACTGAAGCCCTTGTAATTTCGAGACTCAAGTTCCCCTAGGATGACCGAACCGATACAAATTTTATAGCTCCGCTTAGAATGCATTTCTAGAGCTGTAGAAGAACTCTGGATAGCCTAAAAAGTGTGTTCAATGTATTTAGGAGGAAACAGTCGTTGGGCGCCCCTGCCAAGTCGGCAACTATAACTCAATAATACACGCTGAGCTGTTTACCATTTGTTTTATATTTTGCTCGCAGATAGCAGGGGAATGACGTGAGTGCGAGTGCTGTAATCTGCTCGCGCTATGGCGAGTGCAAATCACTCTTTGCAAATTCTTTTCTTTCGAGAAAAATATTAGTACATCTTTATGGGGAAGTTTAGGAGATAAATTAAAGGGCTGTTCAGGTCTGCAAACATACTCCAAACAGCAGATGTCGTCCGTCGAGGTTTCCTCTTGATATTCTTGCCATGTTTTAGACAATAGTTCGCCGTGAAATGAGTAAAACGTTCTGCCATCACTCGCTTCGAAAACAACTCAAACTTGTCCTTAGGTCTTCTCGGTTAACGGTTGAATAATCTGCAACTTTGCCGCACTTTTGACGTCATCGGTTGAATATGGCAAAATTCTTCCAAATTTGGTCAAAAGTAGCTGGTTATGATAAGTTATGCGAGTGATTTTAGCCAATCAGAAACGGAGAAATATTTTGAATAGCTGAACGTCATATATGTGATAATTGATTCATCTTGTTGAGAATTTCTTCAATGCTTCTCGAAGATCTAAAACTTACAGTTCGAACCAAAATCTCAACATTCTGTCACTACAATCACCCTTGTGCTAACCTCCAAAAGTCATACGATACTTATTTTTTGGACGTCTCCAAAAATAAACACTAATCAACGCCCCACCTAGATTGTATAACATCAGTTCTCTGCAATCTTTTCTTCCGGGTCAGTTTCGTGCCGCTAATAAAATCGGAACATGTAAAGGGGCTGTGTCAAAACATTTTGCTTAATTTTGCCAATTACTCGCCCTCACCACGCTACGGAACTTAAGGTAAGCAAAGAAATTACATGTAGATGACAAAATCAGAGATCCGAGACAAACAAATATGTACTCCTGAGCATTATTTTTGAAGTTGCAAACAGCAGGGATCAACTTTGAAGAACTGTTAGGCTGAACAGTTTTCAAAAACCCTTATTTCAATCCTTTTCAATCTTCTTCAGTTTTGCCCATCCGTGGCATCTGTTGTTTCTGTTATGTTATTTTATTTTAACCTTCCTTTAAAGTTTTAAGCGGTTATTTTTATGTTTCGCTTAATTTAACGGGCATTTTCTAATTTCCTAATTTGGCTGAATTTCGTGACACAGCTCCTTTAAGAACTTGATGTCTAAGTTGGATATCTCAAATTTTACATTTTAATCGCCTAAATACATGTATAAATACATTTTGTTTAGTTTTAACATCATTATGTAATAATCTCGTGATCTACTCTCAGTGTTAATCATTTTTAACTGTATACGTATATTTTTTTATAAAATAACTAAGATAGTACGCGTGCTCTGATTGGCCGAGAGAAGTGTTTGCATGAGAGTATGTAAACATGGAGTTGTTTGGCTTTTCGCGCGCTAATCACGCAAGCACGAATTTGAAAAAGTTTTCGAGTTCAAAACTCGACAAGTTTACTTTATTTACCCATTCCTTCGTCGGCTGAAACATGGAAAATCGTTACAAAGAAGGTGAGTCAATTTTTCTTTGCTTAAGCCGGCATTTTGAGCGAGAAAAATCCGTATTTTGCAAAGCATCTTTTTGCAAAACAAGAACTGATTACGCATGCAAGACTTCGTGGACAAGATTTTGCGACTGGTAAGAATTTCTCTTTTAATCAGTGCCATGCATAAAGTTTTGCGTTTTTTCTCGTGAAAGTTTTTCTATAAAAGCAATAGAAAACTTTTTCCTGTGTTTGTTTAGCCTGATATAAACACTCGAGGCGTTGGGAGAATTCTCGACGGTTATGCAAACCCTCGACTTCGTCTCGGGTTTGCATAACTGTCTCGAATTCTCCCAACCCCTCTCGTGTTTATATCAGGCTATGCAAACACAGAAAACGTTTTCTATTGCTTAAATATAGGTTTTTATGAGAAATCTTCTCGTTCTATTATTATTTCTAGTTTATTTATATATTTTTCGTGGCATGTCTGTAAAGTAGCTAATTAGCTAAGAACATTGACCACGTTAAATAAAGGTTATTGTATTGGTTATTGTATTGCATTGTAGAGAAAGAAGCCGAATGCGTCAAGCAACCAGAGCAACAGATTGAAAAGCATCCATTTTCAGAACCTTGGGAAGATAGTGATTTGGTGCTCGCGGTGGAAGATGAGACATTTTATGTCCATCGACAGATACTGAGTTTACACTCACCAGTGTTTAAAGCAATGCTCAGTTCACAGAAAGAAGGAACGGCCACAGAAATTCCATTAGCAGGAAAAAAGGCAAAAGAGGTTTTGGATTTCCTGAAGGTTCTCNCTTTTCGCGCGCTAATCACGCAAGCACGAATTTGAAAAAGTTTTCGAGTTCAAAACTCGACAAGTTTACTTTATTTACCCATTCCTTCGTCGGCTGAAACATGGAAAATCGTTACAAAGAAGGTGAGTCAATTTTTCTTTGCTTAAGCCGGCATTTTGAGCGAGAAAAATCCGTATTTTGCAAAGCATCTTTTTGCAAAACAAGAACTGATTACGCATGCAAGACTTCGTGGACAAGATTTTGCGACTGGTAAGAATTTCTCTTTTAATCAGTGCCATGCATAAAGTTTTGCGTTTTTTCTCGTGAAAGTTTTTCTATAAAAGCAATAGAAAACTTTTTCCTGTGTTTGTTTAGCCTGATATAAACACTCGAGGCGTTGGGAGAATTCTCGACGGTTATGCAAACCCTCGACTTCGTCTCGGGTTTGCATAACTGTCTCGAATTCTCCCAACCCCTCTCGTGTTTATATCAGGCTATGCAAACACAGAAAACGTTTTCTATTGCTTAAATATAGGTTTTTATGAGAAATCTTCTCGTTCTATTATTATTTCTAGTTTATTTATATATTTTTCGTGGCATGTCTGTAAAGTAGCTAATTAGCTAAGAACATTGACCACGTTAAATAAAGGTTATTGTATTGGTTATTGTATTGCATTGTAGAGAAAGAAGCCGAATGCGTCAAGCAACCAGAGCAACAGATTGAAAAGCATCCATTTTCAGAACCTTGGGAAGATAGTGATTTGGTGCTCGCGGTGGAAGATGAGACATTTTATGTCCATCGACAGATACTGAGTTTACACTCACCAGTGTTTAAAGCAATGCTCAGTTCACAGAAAGAAGGAACGGCCACAGAAATTCCATTAGCAGGAAAAAAGGCAAAAGAGGTTTTGGATTTCCTGAAGGTTCTCTACTTGAAAGAAACAGAAGGCATTACTTGTAAGTAGAGAACGTGCCTTAAAAATACTTAGGAATGTAATGTAAGTCCTTGTACTGTAGACATTATATATCGCTAAGGTGGTTTGCAATGTATATGATGCAAGCCCAATCAAAGTCAAAAGCAGAAAGACAATGATGCTGTGAGGAAAGCATTCTGCGAATATAAATATTTTAAATTCTCGTTGTTGTGTTGAAGTTTGCTGGTGTTCACTGACGTATACCATTTGAAATCAGTTGAAAGCAAAACAAGCGAGTCAATCTAACATGAACAATGCTTTATTTAATTTAACCTATGAAGCGAGTGATATCCTTAACGTAAACTTATCGTCTGGCGTATCGCTCTAAAGTAGTGAGAACTATTATTAGCAAACCAGTCCTTAGTCAAACCTAAAGGAACTGTAACACAGCGATTACATCGAAAAGACTATACGCAGTGCTGATTCGACGCTTTGCAAACACAACTTCTCGCTTATTCTTTCGAGAACACATATCTAAGCTTCCTAAGGATTAAAACAAAATAATAGATTGAGTAATCAAAACATTTCACAGTCGAATCGGGCTTCAGGAAAATCTCACCTGGTGCTTAGACGTTTCGCAATTATATGACCTTCACTGTGTTCATTGGACTCAACAAAGCATCCATACGCATTCACTACCAGTTTAAATTTTGAACTGCTTTCTCCGGTGACATTTAAGTCATATGAAGTCGGCGATATATCTTCCTCCATTTGGAAAAGAATTTAAGTCTTACTGGCCTCTTTGATACTGAAGCCAATCAAAACACTGCGTTTGACAAAAAAGTCGTTTCAAAACACATGTTCATGTTTTGATGCCAGTTTCCTACGACTGTTTCTTTTTCAGCACTGAAAATTACTCTATATTTATTCTAGAGAAAGAAAGTGACGGTTCATTTTTTTTTAAAAAAGAGAAAAACAAAAAATGGGTCATTTACCTCTCTAGGAGGCTCCAGCCTTAAGGCAAAAGCCAACCATGTTTTAATTTGCGCGTGATAATTTCGCGTGCTTGAACTAACACGTAGTAAGGATGCGCAATGCAGTACTAACAATCTCCCCGTCCTTCGCCCTTTGTTCTTCTCTTTTTGTTTTTGTTTTCCCTATCTTTCTAACTGTGGTTTTGGTTACTGTTACTGATTAGTAAACAAAATGGGTCACCTTCTGAAGCTAGCTGATGAGTACGAAGTACAGGGTGTGGTCGATCTCTGCGTCAAGTGCCTCAAAGATGTGCCAAAGTCTGAGGAGAATGTGGTGAAGATTCTATATCTGGCAACAGACACACTAAAAGCTGGTGAGGATTCTAGGCTTGATAGCGTTCGCAGAGATTGCGAAATCCTCGTTAAAGACATGGACCTTGCCAATATCACTGCAAAGGGTGATTTTAAGAATCTGAACCGAGACAGCATGGAAAAAGTTTTTGTTAAGAGAGCTGAACGTTTAGAAAGTTTCATTAAGGACGTTCATCCCCAGTTGATTGGGTTAGTGGAATATTGTTTACACCTAAAACTAGAATCGCCTTTTCCTTGTGTAACTCGCTGCCCTCAACACCTGCCACCTGGGAAATCGCTCGGTTCTAGACCTGCACATATTGGTCTTCTTCAGCGGATCAATAGTTGTTTTGGTTGTAGAGATATGATTACACAGTTAGTTTCTTCATCTTACAAACCAGTTCAAACCATAACCCAAGAGGATGCCTCTGAATCCCTCCCTGTCCAGGCTGGCCCAACAGGAGTTGTTAAGGAACACGTGTATGGGGGGGGTTTCCACTTTGACGAGAAATTGATTACACTTCTTCAGGATATAAACAAGATAGTTGACCTCCCTCTTCCCAGATTTGGAACCTCAACTACTAAAACCCCTGCTTCATTCAGTCTGGGGACCACTGCTGCTAGCCTCCCTCCTTCATTCAGTTCGGAGACGTCAACTATCAGCTCCCCTGCTTCATTCATTTTGGGGGGATCAACTACCAGCACCCCTGCTTCATTCAGTTCGAAGACCTCAGCTACCTACGCGGTGCCTACTTCATTCACTTTCGGGGCCTCAACTACCCCCTCCCCTCCTTCAATGGTTGCGGTGACCTCAGCTACCATCTCCCCTGCTTTAATCAGTTCGGTGACCTCAACTACCAGCGGCTCTACTTCATTCACCTTTGGGACCCCAAGGCCATCTCCTGGCTTTTTTGGCTCAATCGGTTCGCTTAAGGAAGAAGTGGGAAACGACCAAAAACCAAGAGGGAGAAAGGCAAAATGACCCTAAAAATAAGGTAGAAGAAATCGGGAGAAGGAGAAGGGAGAAAATATTTTTTGTTTACTACAATTATCAAAAATTGATATTTTTTTTTCATGCTTTCAAATCACAAACTCTGCCTTAGTTTTAGCTAAGGGTCCTAAAGTTTCCGCCAGTAGGTGCAACTGAAGAGAGATTGTTCTGCGGCCTTCATAGTTAAGCTTGTACAAGTATCTCTTGAAATCATGGCTCTCCTTTTCGATCTGTAGAAAATTATTAGAGGGTCTTTGGAAAATCTCTCGCAGCAATGGCTGGTTTTCTATAAATTGTCGCATTCTAGTGTGGGTACTTGAAAACACGGCCGTGCTTACATTAGTGCCCAGCACGCACTATAATCGTGGGCAATGAGCGCAGGCAGCAAGTGTGAACGCTTCCCTTACCTCACTTTACAGCGCCTTTGTTTTATTCCACAATATATTTCAACTAAAATTCAACTTTAGTATCCAATTGAGACTACTGTAGAGATAAGAATAAGTTTGATGAATTGGGGAAATGAATAATGTAAGACAACAACTCTCTGGTTGAGATTGATGTCCAAGCCGATAAAGGTAAAGATGGTCAAATTTTAGTGAAGATGATGTTGATAAACTTCCTCAGGAAGGTACTTGGTCGTTTTAATGTACCTGTACAGACATGTGGATGCTAGCAAGTTAGAGGACCTTTCAGGTATTATGATTTCTCTTGATTAAATCAAGGAACAGCTTAGCCTACAAACGCGGAGGTACTGTCCCGGTCGTCGTTTCCCTCCACGTTTTGGGTGGACAGGAGCCACGACCGGAAATGGCTGCGTTCGCACGCAAGAGATTACTAAAAGGATGCAAATTGTAAAAATATAATCATCGCACTTTATCACTTGCCCATGATTTAGAGTCTGACGAGGACCAGCAATTTACCATTGAAACTATTGTATGCATTCGAATCTCTTGGTGACCTGTCTGCGAATACAGCTGCCTCTTAGTTACGCACCGTTACCGAGATGAGGTGAATGAGTGAGTTTTTATACAGACATTCGGCTTCAATAGGCAGTGGGCATCCAACTTTTTTTGCATATTATTGGTGGATCTTTTAGTTCGGGTCAGTTATTTAGCTGTTTCGTCCTCGTTAATAAATCATTTAAAGTTTTTGGAAAAATTTTGGCGCTTATTTGGCAAACAGAACGCCTCTGATATCAATTTTTGCCAATAACGATCTGTTATTGGACAATTGATGCAATTCTTCAAAATTTGATCAGCCATAGCATGTTATGAAAAACTAGCTAGGAATTTTAAGCTAATCAGAAAAGGCTAAATAATACATATTAAATAGAAGGAAAAAGAGTAACAAAACAACTGTTACTTCTCAAACAAGGGCCGAAAGGGAAGGAATAAGAAAGAATAGAGAAAAGACCAAAAGATAAGAAAGCCGGGAGAAAAAGTAGACTAGAAAGGGGGAGATCTAGGAAATTTAACCGCCTGTTACTTCTCCCCTTTAGTTCGGGGACCTCAACTAGTGGCCCTTGCGTCAATCAGTTCAGGGACCTCAACTACCAGCCTTCATGGTCCATTTTTAGCGACAACAACTACTCACAATTCTAGTATTTTGACATATCTTTCGACCGTAAAGAACAATAAATCTTATATATAGGACATGTAGGTTAGACTTCCAGCTGTTTTATATAATTGTGTTGGGGGATTATTTTGAGGAGAAAAATGTTTTCTCGCCTCTTCTAATCCCTCTCTGGGACTCAGTTTCGAGTAACCATTGCTGTGTAACAAATTTTCGACCGGCTAAAATTACCAGACACTTCGTTCACACGTGACTGTTTAATGTTTTCGCCCTGCTCACAACGAACTTTGAACGGCTAGGCTTCTAAATTTCCGTACGGTCAAGGTGAAATTCAGTGGGAACGGAACAACTACAGTAAACGCGCGAATTTTCTATCGGTCGAAAATTTGACTGTTGCTGTGTGAACTTAGCTTAAATAAACAGAGCTCAACGTCATGTACCAGCTATGCACATGTTAGGGGTTGACCATTTGACTTTTGAGGGGGAGGGGCTAGAGATGAATTTTTTTTCCCAAACCTCTGGTGATAGAATGTTTTCCCTGACATACAAAGGTGAAATATTTTTTCCAGAATTATACGCCATGAAAGAAGTTTTTTTTTTCAGTATAAGAATTTTTCCCAGCTAATTTTCTTGCAATAAATTCAGTTTTTCTTTCGAAATCAGTCTGTAGGATTTTTTTTCCTCAAATCACCCATACCCCCACCCAAAATTCAAATGGTCGGCCTCTTATTACAAGCAATAACAGCAAAAATTTATTGACACGCTAATAGATATATCGAGCAATATGAAAAATAATGTGTAAAACGCATAGAACCCGCTGCTAGCTAGCCTACTTAGCCGGCGAAACTGTTGTTTTTCTGTTTGTTTGTTTGCTTTTTTTTTGCACGTCTGAGAGTTTAAGCGGTGAAGCCGCCATTATCGCGCGAGAAGCGAGCGCCGAGGGATTTCAAAGCGTCTCCTCTCCAATCTCCACACGGCTTCCCAGTACAGTGCCAAAATTTTGCTCGCGCTAACGATCCAGCCGGATACGCAGGCTAGCAATAGGAGACATCAATGTTTACAAACATTGCTTTTGTTATTAATTTTTAACGACTGAAACTAAGAATCTTTTCAGTCTCAAGAACCAATGCTCATCTTGTTAGCAAATAAATATCAGTAGGTGACGTAAGCGTGAGTATCGCTATTAGTTGAATAATTTAGGCGTACCACGGAATAAGAAAATATGGAATAATCACTTGTTTTGGCATTCATTGTATTGCAATGAGAAATATGCCTGAAATCAAGTATTTTGATTTATGTAGCGCAAATAAATCACGGTACAAGGGATTCGTAACAAAACGTTTGCGTATTCTTATTCCGAAATATGATCACTGAATCGAGCGCACTCAAAGAGAGAAAACAGTAAAAAATAGTTCCCTGCCTGTTTCTTCATAACAAGGCAGTCTCATGTCGTAGAAAGACCTTAAGTAATTACATCATATCAATGATAAATAACTTTTTTACTGACTTTGCTGGTCTTAGCCCAGTTAAGGTTTAAGTGAATTAACCTGAAAGCGTAGTTACTGGACGTGTTGGAATAATCAGTAACCCATTTACTTAGGAAAGGTATTGTGTGTGAGTTAGTTTCTAGAGTAGCCTGCCATAATCTGTATTATTGTTTAAGAATTCCAAGTAAAATAGAGAGTATGTAAAAAGCTGGCAACCTGTACACAAACGTCGTTTCCATTTTTTTTTTTTTCGAAAATCGACGAGCGCGCGAGCACGGAGAGCGGTTAATAAATCCATCGCGGTTTTTATCTTCATACGAATGAATGTGAACAGCCTATAATTCTGGATCCGGCCCAAAAAGCTCTCCTCCTCAGAGGACTCTGGGACGACTCGGAATACCCAGCGATAACCACAGCTTCTTTGGAGGAGAGTGGGCTCTAGTTGGAATTTGAGTTACACCTCCAGTTGATCTTGAATAATTGATCATTTCGTCTTTTTGTTTTTGCGAAATAGCCGAAACACTATAGTTTACGTGAAGGTTTTCAGATTGTTTATTAATTTGCTATGAAAACACGGGAGCCGTTAGCCTGAGAAAACAGCCGACACTTGGCGACGCTACCACTGGTTTCCGCGCCAAATGACGTCTGAGAAACGAGCGCAGAAATCCCATACTGATGACGCGTCACTAAATCAAATTCCCCACGCGGCACGACCAATCAGAAGCCCTAACCAGATCTGGTTAGTGACGCATCATCAGGTATGAAATTTATGCCCTCGTTTCTCAGACGTCATTTGGCGGGGAAACCAGTGGTAGCGTCGCCAAATTTCGGCTGTTTTCTCAGGCTAGGGAGCCGTGAACGATTTGCCAAGGAGCAGAAATTCAAAGAAACAAAAGATATCACACCGACCGGGGAAAAAGTTTCCTGTGAATGGAGGCTGTTTTCGAAAATGAATTTCTACTTATCATTCTTCATGTTATATCGAATAGAATCCAGAACTAGATAACAAGAACTCAGACGAGTTGCGAGCGTGTATTGAAGTACCATACCGTGATACGGCCTCGGGCGGTACTCAAGACCTTCGGCACAGTTTCTCCCAATACGGACCTCCCAGCCGGTGAATAACATATATGTGTCGAAATTAAAAAAAAGCAAACAGCCAGCGAGCGAGGACACCAGTTTCCCTGGTTTATTTTTTACAAAAAGCGAAGGCAAACAATAAGTCTGTTACCTTAAGACTATAGCGCCACTAGCTTTTATATAAGGGTGTGGACAAAACATGGACCAGGGGTCCATGGACCCTTTTTTTTTTTAAATGATGAGAATTGAACAAAACAGAAAAAGTGCAAAAATAAGATTTGACAAGACGCTGTCAACCACGATTGATCACAGATATTTAGTTTTGCTTACATGACGTACACTCTGCTTGCACATGTGCAGTCGTAAGACTGTTAAGCTAATTCCAATCTCGTTCCCAGAGGTCGCAATCCTTTTGTAACGGAGGCTCTAAGGACGAGATTGGTTACAGTAAAAACCTGCAACTAAGAACCTACATTTTTAGGAGTTGGCCTAAACAGGTTCTTATATAAATGGTATATAGTTAACAGAATTTTAGGCTATGTAGGTTCTTAAAATGGGTTCTTAATCTTGGAGAAAAAACAATTAAAACACAGCTGCAAACAAGTTGGTCATTAGCCTATACTACATATTGCTTATTATGCTTTGTAAGTCTACATATCTTGTTTCATTTTTCTTAAAAAAAACATTTTTACAACAATGGCAATCTGCTTTTTTTGCTTCAAATATGATTCTTGCAATGCAGCTGTAATGTACTAGTAT